AGTTGTCCAAATTTTGTTTCGACAGAAACTCCCAAAGTTTCAAAAGTTTTGGTTTCATATGAAGAAAGAATTTTATGTTTGATACATACGTCTATGAACAATGATGGCTTGTCTGCTGTTTACTATCGCCTTGGAAGGTGTGATCCGAAGAGCGGGCATAGACATCAATGGTACGATTTTCAGGAAGTCCGTCCAGCTTCTTGGCTTCACTAATAACATTGAAATCACGGCACGAAACTTTGAGACGATGGCGGAAACGTTCGTCTGTACTAAAGGCTGAAGTTAATCGGATCGGACTATAGTCATTAATGCATCGAAGGTAAATTACATGAGAGGAAGAAGTTCAAGAGAAGATTGTGTTAGCCTCGCACCACAAGTTCGGATTGACGGTGATGAAATCGAGATGGTAGGATTTCTTGTACCTATCTAGGCTCACTGATGACCACCGATAGAGACACCAAAGACGCATTATGGCGGGAATCGTGCTTACTTTGGTTTCCGTTCGAATAAAATTTGCTGTATCACGAAGTTGACTATCTACTATACGCTGAGTTTAGACCAGTAGTTCTCTACGGCCACGAACTATGGACTATGCTCGTGGATGACCAACGCGTTGTTTGTTTTGGGCAAGCTGAATCGATCTGCGGGGAAGGCGACCCACGGAACTTTCATCTTTGGCGTGGTAATTGAAACCGGCGTATGGAAGAGAAGACTGAATCACGAGGTGGCGCAACTCTATGATGTGAAAAGATCCACTCAAAATTGAATGGTTTTTCATTCAAGATTGCAAAAACGTAGGTTACTCATAGACTGAGTAAAATTGTCCTCAGACTTATCCTCAAAAATCTGCTCGAATATGAGGAAAATCGACGACGTATGCTTGGTATGCTTATAGTTCATTTTCATTTTCATTTTCATTTTATGATGTACAAGGGGGTCAGGGGCCATGTCACCGATGTGAATATTCACACCATCTATAATACACCAGGGAAGGGGAGAGGAGTGAGCAACACAGCATCTTTACCCATGGGGGCTAAAAAAGTTCTGCGAAGTACACTTATGGTGAACCAGCGGCTCAGGGATTGTAGAAAGGAAAAGGGTTGGGTAGGTTTAAAATGCAGAATTAGATGCCGTCACGATTGAATGCGCATGTTTAAACAACGTTGATCCAGGTACCTATCATATAAATTTGCATATAATCTAGTCATGATTATTGTCAATAATACTTACATTTCGATAAAGACGATGTTGCCTACTTTACCTGTTTTGTGATACTTATCATCACAGAGTCCAACCTTGAATCGCAGACCAGGTCCACTAACAAAACACTCGTTCCGAGAAGGGGCTTATGGTCTTCTTCTTCTTTTTCTTCAGGTTCGCTCACCACCCGGAATGAAGGCTCGGTGCGGTTAGTAATATCAAACAGTGTTACATGCAAACGAAAAAGAGATACAACCAGGATTAGTTTTTTAAAGAAATAGTTTCATCTGAATACCCAATTAACCATATCTCAGTGACATTGTCCCACTCTGAACCCACACCTAAAGCTATTTTGTGATTATATGGTTACTTTGGTACTCACATGAAATGTTGTACAAGTACCACAAGTACAACAACGCCCAACTATGGACAGCTCAATGTTAATACCATTTACTCTTTGAATCAGCTTACACCAACATGATAATCTACTAAGAAACATCTACACACTTAATCTAGCTCGGTAAAATCTCCAATTGCCGATTACCTCGGCAATGACTATTGCTGATATCTCTGCAAAATATCTGTTTGTCAGCTGATATCTCAGCAAAATATTATTTGTTAACTGAGTCTCGGCAATTGTTTTACTGAATCTCAGCTAAATAAATTGCAGAAATACTCGGCTGTTGGAATCTCGGCGAAAAATTTAAGTGTGTAAGAATGTATAGAGATAAAGTTCAAAAATACAGTTTTAACTGATGGTACTTTATAAACATCAAACTGTCCAATATTGGACCCTGCCAACACACGGCGCCTGCACGGCAATGTGAGCCGTCAGAATGGTTCATCGGTTGCGAAGTGAAGTGCTTCTCAAACTGAAGCGATACATTTCTCAATTTTTTCAACGTTATCCTAACGTAAACTTAATATTATCACCCATATGCCCGTCACGCCCGAAACCCATCCACCACACAAAATCAAATAAAAATGTTTCTGTATAGCAAACACGTCCAGACATAAACGAGAATATGGGTGTAATAGACTGATGCAAATTTTGACATTTTCGCTCCACAGTGCTCAAACGGTTTCAAATCGGGTCCTGATTAGTCTCCCAAAATTTGAACTCATTTGAAAAGAAACTGGCTTGGCACAAACCATTTGAAGTTTATATGGAAATTACTATGGGAAATCCAAACTTTTTGTTCATTGTCTTCTTACCTTTTTCCATATGGCACTGTTCAAAAATTCAAAAGCTATACTTATGGAAAATTTTCTCAGCTTCAACTTAGCAGAATATAGTTGTTGAGCCAAACGTCAAATAAAATAGTTATTAATTGTTTAAGAGATTAATAATCTTATGGCATGATCAAGCAGCTGTTTTGTGAGCAACACTGTATCTTGCAGTGTGACATAGTAGCCATGATTTGTGTGCTCTATTCCAAGCGCCAGTAACACCAATGTTGCCTGCTGAACAGTTGATTGAGCATAATCGTAAGACATTAGTGGCTTGAATTATTGATAACTTTTGATGCTTACATTATATTGAAAAGTGGTTCAGGACAAAGTTGTAGCTGAGAAAATTTTCTACGAGCTCAGTTATCATTTTTTAAAGCAGAGCGATATGGCGAATTGTTAGATGGATATGAACAAAACATTTGGTTTTCCTATAGTAATTTCCACATAAACTTCAAATGGTTTGTGCGAAGTCAGTTTCTTATCAAATGAGTTCAAATTTTGGGAGACTAATCACGACCCGATTTGGAACCGTTTGAGCACTGTGGAGCGAAAATGTCAAAATTTGCATCAGTCTACTGTATATCTTCACTGTAACAACTACGGGTAATCAACGGCGCCGGTGGTGTAGTGGTAAGCGTGATTACCTCTCACCCCAGCAGGCCTGGGTTCAATCCCAGTCGGCGCCGCCGGGATGTTCTGAGGCATAACATCTCTGATCACGCCTTCCTTCGCGGTTCATGAGTTGATGGGTCGATAGGTAGGGTCCAGGTGTGGGAGCTGCCTTCCTGGCACGTCGGTAGCATTGGTGCTCAGCACGGAAAACAAGATCGACGAAAAAAACAAACCAAAGGAAAAAAAAAAAAAAAAAAATCGAAAATACTTGCATTTTACTCAGGCACTTTTGAGCAAACTGCAATCACTCATACTCGAAATGTGCCACGACCAAATTGGCACAACGAAGCCCTATACGCTCTCTGACCAAAGCGCAGGGTATGCTTGGTATGCTTATAGTTTGAGTGAAACTTCTCTCGATTCTTCGCATATTCCAAATTTGAAAACGAAACAATTGAAAAACGCTTTCAAATGATGAAAATTCTGTTCTCTCTCGCTGACCTCCAGATCAACGACTTGATATTCTAAAGCTTTACTGCAGACAGTGTTGAGAAAAACTCAAAACTCATGCATGCAGCACACAGCAAGCTAAGAAAAACGCTGGTAAAGATTTTTTTTTTCTCCATGGGCTCTTATGGATTGGGACAACACTGTTTTGGTATTTTTGGCGACATTTTCTGAACAAAGTAGGAAACCTTTCGTGTACGTTGTATGTGTACCAGTGATGGTACTTGACAATCAATTTCACTTTATAACTCAAAAATGCTAATAGGACTGTTATGCCGCACAGGCAGTATACGGGTATACGTCTTGAAAATTATTTCAACTTCTTCCAAGTTCTATATTTTTTTTTAAATTCTCTCAATTCGACCAAGATCTCAGCACATCGATAAACTTGTCCAAACTTCATAAAAGCTCTTGAACCTTTTCGAATTGTCCTAACACCTGGGCGAAACAAATTTCCCAAAATTAATTTTAATTCCATTAATCTTCCACGAAAAATAATGTTTATTAAGTTTCTTAAAATTCTCTTCCCTTAACTTAAACGAAGTTTCCCAATTCTACGAAGTATTTTTTTAAACTTTATTTTAGAGATTTTTAGCCGTAGGGTAGTTCATCTCTTGAAGTTTTCCTGACTTTTCAACAAGGTTTGATGAAGTTCTACAAAGTTCTCTGAATTTAAAACTGGATGAAGTTAGTTCTACCATCTCTGAAGTTCTATTAAGTTCACTGAGCTTTCACGATGTTAGTTGAACTTCAATAAAATATGCTGCTCTACGCAGTTCAATTAATGTCTACGAAGTTTTTGAAAGTTATACGATGTTTCTTGAAGGTCTATGAAGTTTCTTAATATTCTACAACGTTCCCAACTGTTAAGAAGTTCTCCGAAATCAAATGATGTTCTCTTTATTTTTTCTTTTACGAATTGCCCTTGACTTGCACGGAATAGGAGCATTTTCAAAACATACTGCTGTCGAAAGATTCCAGAACCGATCACTAGGTGCGCTGCTGTAGAATAAATTCAGCACCTTTAGAAAAAAAATATGCAGGATAGGAAAGGAGAAAGTAATGTTTTGGGATATAGTACGAACATGGTGAAGGACGCGTTCATGAACAACTGGTACTCAATAATTTTACATTTTGCTAAATTATTGCTAATGCAGCTACCTACATCCAGTGGTTTGGTTCAACTGATCAATTTAGATGGTCAAGTTCTGAACCCACCACAGTATGCTTTTGGCGCTACTGTATATAGACGATCAAAAGTAAAATACTGTGGTAGCCACAGCACAGTTCTGTCAAAACCTCAGCATTTTCATTGATCCACTGGTGGTACGCAAAAGACACCGGTGGAGGTCATCATTCAATACGTACCGGATCTACTTGACCGCGATCTTGCGCCAAATAATACAACGCTAGGTTAAAGTAAATAACATATATCCCACGAAAAAAAATCGATTCAATGCAGGTTTTATTCCAATCAGTAAACAATATTGATTCAGCCTAGTTTGCATATCTTCTAGCGCGTACATTAGCTTAAATCACAAAAAATACAATCTAATCAGGAGTCTGATCCTTGCATAACAGCGCAAGTGTAATTGTAAAACAAAACAAATAAAATGTAGGTAAGAATAAGACTGGTTTGCCAATTCACAAATACTCAGCAGTCAATTTCCGTGGATTTACCATCCGAAAGAGAGAAGAAATAAACAAAAACCGATTTTTTAACCTACTGACGGTGAAATCATAATAATAAATAGCTTAGGTTGGAATCGCTTATTGCGTTATGCTTGCTCTGGTAAACCAATTTTAGATGCCTAATTAATGATGCATTTAGAGTTTAATCTTTTTTTCACGATGGTAAAACTACGGTACTTTGGAAAGGTACTTTGCGTCCTAACAAACGGCCTTTATTTCCTATGCAGCTGATGCATTCTTCTCAATTTCCGGATATCCGTCTCCGCGATGGACTAGATGCAGCGTTTGAGAGCTTCGTTTGAAAGCTTTACTTTTCCTGGTTGAGGGCATTGATGAATTCTTCCAATTTCTCCTGGATGTGCCGTACTCGAACTGCAGAAAAGTGAAATTAATGTAGATTATTGGTATTTTTATGTGTAGAACGAGAATGCTTACTTAGCTCCTCTGCCAGCGTGACACGTTTTCCGGTTAGCAGTTGTAGCTTCTTCTCGTCATCTTCGCTGTACTCGTCGAGCACTTCTTTGATTTCCTTATCCAACCGACGGGCTTCGCGGTTGATGACCTGCTGTCGCAAGGCATTGGCAGTCACTTTGATCACTTGCTGGATGCGCCAGAATAGCACCACATCACTGCAGTTTATTTCGCAATCGGTGCCCTGCTGGGTGTAAAGGTAATACGCCTTGCGGCAGTCGTAAGCTCGGTTAAGCGATTGCTTAAGAAAGTGCCTAAAATTGACAAAAATGTTGGATTTAGATAGGTACAGTGTTGAGATGCGAGACACATACCTTCTGTAGATCGGATACCATGTCTCCCGGATGTAGTCCGTCTCCACTTCAACGTTGTTCCGTTGCAGGTTTTTCCGCACCGTCGTCAGTTCGTCGTAGCTAAGTGTGGGCGAATGCTTCGTGTCACTAGTGAGTATCTTGTCGAGTTCGCCTTTCACGTACTTCCGTTTGTTTTGTTCATCGGTTGACGAACGCCAGTGGAGCCACTTTTGTGTCGTCGTCGGACCGAACATTTCGCTTATTGTTTGCTCAGTGTGTTCAAGCTTCTCCTTGACGGATGTTTCGAAAAACCGCACTGCCTGATCCCATTCGTGCTTGTCGTGCACGCTTCGATCTTCGAGTGTGTTCAATTGAATCACCCTTAGCATATCGATGGCTTTGTCTTCCCACGAGTGACGACGGATGGCTTCGTCGATCACGGCACTCTTTAGGTTATCGTACAGGTCATCGTGATCGGGAGTCTTACGAGCTGCTTCCATCAGATGTTGGAACTCTTTCTGCAATGCCTCCCAGCCGGCTTCTACCGATTTGGCGGGCAGGGCCTGTTCGGCCCACTGGCGCAACTTGATGTCTACCATGGTGTTGAAGGAATCTGAAATGAAGGAGCTGTGTGGTTGGAAAGGTTCACGAATGGATAAGACGACTTACTTGTGGAACCGGACTGTGCCGCTGGCAGGTAGACATTTTCAAATACGTAGTTTGACAGCTTCTCCCAAAGTTTATCGTTGAGAAGTTCTTCCCACTTCTTGGCAGACACCTGAGATAAATTGACCACCTCGTCCAGCACTTCACCTTTGGCTTTTTCGAACAGTTCATCCCGGCCGGATTCACGCAATCTATTGAATATTTCAGATTGAACGTTTAAATTAAGAACTTGGAACCTTGCGATCAACTAACCTTGGGAAATTGTTCTTCCACTCCGTCTCCAAGTTGAACCGAGTAGCCTTGAATGCGTCGGCCTGTTGTTCGATGGTTTCCCGTACCATTTTCCAGAATCGGTCTGCCACTGCGAGGCTTAGGTTGCGGGTTGTGACCTGGTGGGACATTGTTACACCACTTCTGAAATCGGAACATGGAATCATCGCTCTTTTCTGTTGATTAGCAAACAAAGCAAGACAACTTACTGGAACAGTTTCGAGTTTTTGAAAAATTTCTCCTCGTACTCACGGATGGTCTCGATCGAGTCATCCTTCCGTCCGCGACCGGTAACGACGGCAAAGTAACCGAGAGCCTTCATCGGGAACAGCTTACCGGAAAGAATTTTCCTTATCCTATTCGGATCGGCCAAATCCTCTGCCATGTCGACCTTGGTGAGGACAAAAATGGTCCGTTTCCCCAGTGGATCGCACTGTGATACCAAATCGGTTACATTGCTGCGTTCGGCGTCCACGGAGCCGTCCTTTAACATGAAATAAACCGATTAATATAGGAACTCAGTGGGAGGAATCATTGGGATAAAATTTATCCCCATAAACTCACCTGAATGCACAGAATAATCGCATTTGGATTACTCATGTAGTGCTCAGTCATGTGTTTGATCGATTCTTTGGTGTCGGCTGCCATGTCCACCGTCTGAGTCGAAATGATACCGGGCAGATCAACTAGCACCATTCGTTGCAAACCCGGTCCCTTGACGGTCATCGAAATCACGTCCATACTGACAGTCTTCCCACCGCGAACGGAATTCCGCATCCTAATCTCCACATCACGCCGCAGTTCAGCCAGATCGGTTTCCCTCGTGAGGTCGTATTCTCGCTCCGAGTCACGGAATTGTGCCACATGATACGGACCTTCCGAAAGCGTAACCTTTACCGGTGCTCGGGTCATCATTTCACCGCTGCCACGGGGGAAAATGCGAGCTTGTGCGATAGCTTCCAGCACAGAAGTCTTTCCACTGCTTTGATCGCCAACGACCACTACTCGGGGTAGGTGATCTGCAGTGCTATAGCTAGTGTCGTACCCGGAAAGTTGATCCAGCACTTCCGAGTACATATCGATGAGTGATTTCTTGATGCGCTTCTTCTGCGGTTGCTTTCGGTTCGTCTTCAGGATCAGGTACTGCTGGCGAAGATCCCGGTTTTCCTTTTCCAGTTTTTCGATCTCGCGCTGGTACTTGAGCTGAACGTTCATAATTTCCGTCTGCAGCGCGTCCACCTGAGACTGTAGCGTATCGACACGCCGCCGGCTATCCTCGGCCGACAGACTTTTGGCGTTTACGGTATTCTTGCTGCGAAGTTCTTCTTTGGTAGCTAGAACGTGAGATGAACAGAAGGTTAATGTGGGATGAGTGTGAACGTTAGCCAAATTCTGTTTTATTCAAGAATGACTAAATCACTACACGAGAGATGACAGGTGGGGGAAAGATAGTGAATTTTGTGCACGATGGCTTTTTGTATGCATTACCTCCGTATAGATCTGATATGAGTTCAGATAGATTCTGGAAGGAACCTAGAGACCGAGAGAAAAGAAATAAAAGTTTGCTTTGGTTAAATATGCTGCGTGTGTCGTCGTGGCTAGGCTTCGTGGATGTTAATCAGAGGATCTATTAATTTAGTAACTATACATCAAAACTAAGCCCAAAACTAAACCAAACTGATACATTTAATCATTCTTGAATAGCCCAAAACCGCAACCAACAACGAAGATCTGACATTGTTACTCTAATAGCAACCGAACATATATTTCGAACGGTACTTACTTTCAATTTGCGGGTTCTGTTGAGTCTCGGCCGCTTCAATAGCATTGTCCAGTCGTTTGTCGAACCATTCACGAAACTCGTTCATCTTGTTTTCACTCAGTTGTTTCAAACGAGGATCTGCAAGTTCATATCCAAAATTGAAATCCCTCTTCATATCAAAACAGAATTTCTCTTCCAACTTACCGATTTCGATGGAATCCTTAACCGAATCCTTCATAGCTAGTAAATTTCTGGTAAACTGACCCCACTTTTCGTTGTCGGGAAATACCTCTTCAAGCCATTTCATATCCGGCAGGCCATCCTTCCATTCCTCGTAGCGTTTGTTCATCGTGACACCACCACCGATGGCACCTCCGAGTACCAGGTAGCGTAACTTTAGTACCCCTCGTAGGACTCGACCCACTAACATTCCATATCCTCGGGACGATTGATAGTATTGATAGCCACCAAACTTTGGTCCTCGCAGAAACTCCTGGTAGTAGAAGTTCTGACGCCGATGGCCACCCTTGTTGCTGTTGTTGTTGCCATTGTAGGTAAATCCGGAGAAATTGACCCGGCTCAGGGCGTACACCGTGGGTCTGACGTGTTTGAACCGAGGGTCAATGCTGTAAAGATCCATACAAAATTCCTTCATCAGTAAATAATACTCTCGTTCTCTAAACCACTAATGACTAAAAGCAAAATGAACATCAAAACATTGCTTTCGCATTCTGCTATGAAAAAGGTGAAAAGCGTCAGCCCACCCTTCACCTCCTTCTCTCCTCCTACAGCGTCTTCACAAACTCAACAGAGATAAAGAAAAGAAAAATCAATATACTTTTTACATAACATCATCTGATTTTTCACCGATCGCTTTATGTGCAGACTACTGCAGCAGCAGCGCCAGCACGGGGCCAGCGAATGACGAAGATCATCCTCTGCCTCTGCGCTGACCAAACCCTTGCCAGCTGAGCTGGTTTTCTTCTCATTTTTATCTGCATATCCGCGGTCACTTACCTGACTTTTCCACGCAATAATTGTGCCATCGTTGCTCCGGTAGGTTTTCCTGCACTTCCGGCACTAGATAGACATTATTTTCCACGGGAAAAATAGGAAAATTCGACACAATAATCGCACAACGATGTTGCAGACTTTTACCTCGGGCACTGACAGGACAGTGAAAAGAAAACCGCTGCGTGACGCAAAGTTCGGCAACCAGAGGCGGGTACGTGACGATGGGGGCATAAGAGGAAGTGAAGCACGACGCGGTTTTCCTGGACGAGAGTTTTTGCGAACTTTTGCCTCGAGACGAAACAACTCAAAATCGAGATAGAAAGTACTTAAAAAAAAAAGTACTCCGTTAGCGCCCCGCTGTAGAAGACCAGTCTGAGTACCAACAATGGACATCCGCACCTTGAAGAGCACAAGATGAACATCAACACGATTCAAACGTCGTAGCTTCGGATGGTCTCATAAGGGTATCTCTATTAAAAAATATCATAAAAAACGATAACCCAAATGATACACTAAGGCAAACCCGACCAACCATTCGTGAAACTTCTTCAAAGTTCTTTATACAAAAATAAAGATTGATGTCGGTAATTCTTTACTGTCAAGTTTCTTTGATTTCGATGAATATATTTAAAAACCTTTATTGATCGATACTTACATTTAAGATTATTTCTTTATCGGTCGCATGATAGTTATCTATAAAGATGCCATACTAAATTTCTTCTAATTTCGATGTGTCACAAGGACTATAGTTTTCTTTATAAATATTTATCTAAAAATATTTGAATACTGATACCATCGTAACGTTGAACTTTGGCAAAGAACAATAAAGGTCCAACCCTAATAAAAATTGTATGGTTAATTTGCTTAACGACGTGTTATGGGTATCATCCAAACCATTTATGGAATAGTTCAATGATTTGGGTTATCGTTCGTTTATGGTTATTTTTATTAGGGAAGCGCAATGACGGCGGAAGCGAAACGGCAACGGCAGCGGAAAAGACCGATCTGAGTAAACCTACTTGTCGGGTTGAAAACTAGTTAGATCCAAATCGACTTCGGTTACCCTAATAAAAAATAACCATAAACGAACGATAACCCAAATAATTGAACTTTTCCACAAATGGTTTGGAAGATACCCAGAACACGTCGTTAAGCAAAATAACCATAACAATTTTATTAGGGTAGGCATCTTGATGTCATTAGTGACAACTGTCAAACTTTCCGTTTTCGTTCCGCTTCCGCCCACATTGCGTTTGGGCCTTAAAGATTGCCATCGATGCCCATTTATAATCACCTTGTTATCGTTTTGCATCGCTGGGTAAAGAGAGTTTGATACACACTAGATGACAGATGGCAATGTTTGTATTAGTTATCGACAAATTTGGTTCTTCATCATGAGAAGCATGATCTGCCGGAAAATTAATGGGAAGACTGATCGATGGCCACGATGATACAAATGCTTGCCATTATAGTTCTTTAAGTTTAGGTCGATACGCTCTTGGCCATTTCTTAAGAATCAGCGATAGCAAGCGTGGTAGAATTCTCGGCATTTTGAACCGAATGAGGGAACTTGATACTTTGGTTATGGATATGACAAATAAATTTTGAATTCATGCTTGAAAAGATGTACATAAATTTCAAAACACCATATACTAGATTGTGATTTCCAGTCGTTAAGAAGCTCATCAACAGCAGCTGTAGACCCGAGGATTAGCCACCAAAAAAGAAATCATTACACCCTAGATGGCACGGGATCGAAACCTAGCAGTTATGCAGATAAAAAAAATCCCAAAAATATCAGTACCGTGTACCGTTTTTTCATATGAATGTCTTTGAAGATCGATACATCGAAAATTAAAGAAATTTAACGAAATGGTTGGTCGGGAATAAACGTAATGAATTTCATAAGCGTGACTTATGAATGACTTTCGCCTCCCGAAAAAAAAATTACAGTGAAATTTTCAGTGGAAACAATGCTCTAACATTAATATTTATTGTCGACAATAAAAATGATTGTTATAATGTTGTACTCTTCCGAAAACGGCAAAACTACTACCTAGCTGTACAATGAATGTACATAATAAAATGTTGTTACAATGATTTTTATCGTTTTTTTCATTTATTTTATTGTTAACATGATTCGATCATGAACAATAATGAACAACTCTATTACAATAAAAATTGTTGTTACATTAAATATTGGTGTATTTTCATTGTGGGTTACTTCACGAACAATAAAAATAAATCTGATTGAAGCAGGTCAGCAACACTGCCAATGTAATCAAGATAGGCGCTGCTCGTATGGCTCTGGCTTTGACAGTTCGTTTGGCTCAAAACCAGGCAGTCCGCGTCCGCTCATATCTTATCCTAGACCCTCTCTAAAGCTTAATGGAGACCTTTTCCGTGCAGTCAATAATCATACAATAATAATAAAAAATTCCACCACTTAAATATGTCAGGAAGAAACTCTCAGGTGGAAGCATATTTCATGGGCGATTCCCTCCAGTCGAATGCATTAACTTATCAACGACGCTCAACCACCAAGGAGACGTGACCTAGGGATATCGAGCGCAGGGGAGTTGGCCTGCATTTCTCACAAGTTCCGGATCGAATCTCGATCCATAACCAGTAAAAAAAGGACCACCTGTAACAGACATACCACCCCCTTCCCTTCCCGGGGCAATGTTTTATTTTCTCGATTTATTTTTAAAGTCGATAAAGTAGATCTGTCAGGCCAACACATACACTCTAAAGTACACTGTTATTTTTATTAATCAATAAATTCGCCAACCAACAGTAAAATAACAATAATATTTAATGTTATTGAAAAAAAATTATATGGGAAAATCACGAAAATTTCATTGTTAAGATACTTAACAACCCCCCTTTTTTATTGTAAATTTTCCATTTACCATGAAATTTATTGTTTTGTACAACATAAATCAAGGTAAATTTATTGTAGACGTAACAATATAAATCATTGTTAAGACAATAATTTTCGTCTTATTGTTACATTGTTTTTTAATGTATTTTTGTTGTTATTTTTTTTCGGGCTAACATGAGCTAGTTTTTATAGGCCTTTAACCATTTCACTTTCCCAAGCGTTGAAAGACGAGTGGTCAATACACGGGGCCTATAACCTCAACGTCAACAAATCAATGAAATTCACGAGGGGGACGACTCTATCTACGATGCAGAAAAGATTGTGTTTTGCTGTGGCTAGCTGCACGCGAGGCTGCACGCACGCTGAGTAGATAAAAGGAAGATTTGTGTCGATTTTGAAGATTTCCTGCAAAAAGATGAAGCACGATACAAGTAGATGCGCGAAATGAAAGATGATTTTTCGAAGATTGATTAGCTAGTTTGAGATTTTTTGAGCATCTAGAATTGAGATTTAGATGTGTCGCCCCCCTCGGAAATTCATACCGATTTCTTGTGGCTAAAATTTATAAGTTGTTCTTATGGATTTCTTATGTTATTTTGCCTCAATATAGAACTCTTCAACAAATGGTTTGGATACTACCCCGAACACGTCGTTCTGCAAAATAACCAAACAATAATGATAAGGGATGGGTTCAGTTTGCCGAAAGAAATCATCATCGATAAACCGACATGAAACTTAACTCTTGAAAAATTGTTCTACAAATCTGATAAAATGAACATTTTATCAATTTTAAATAAGTCCCTATTAAAAATTTCACAACTATCCAACTACTGCAATGGTGATCAAAATTATCACCGATTGCCATCAACAAGCGCTTACCCTAGCACAGATTTCAAATCCGAATTCCATCCGCTCTCGCCCAACGGTGCTTATTCAATCACCGAATCACCGTGTGTGGTGGTGTCACCGAAGAAGGAAGAAGAAGCCGCACCACTACTGATCGGATTCAGTTGCTCGTACACGAAACGAAAATCAATTATTTTATTCATTTGTTTCATTTATAAATTTTTGCCAAAACATTACCATAGAGGTAACTCTAAGACTAGAAGGTCCCGAAGAAACGAGCTCAACTTTTTGACTCAGCTCTGGTACTATCTTCGGTCCCAAGCACCCCTCGAAACATAGAAAAATCCACGAACCCCTCATTTTATCTGTCAAACTTTCATAGCGAATCAAAACAAACTGTAGTACTGGAATTTATACTAGAATGGGATACGTTAATCGATTTGCTTGGGACCAATAGGCTAGTCAAGTAGTGAGCCAATTTAAAATCGTTAGTTTCGAATTGATTGTTGCTTATACCGAAGGCTTCATATCATAACTTTGCCTGAATTTGCGATTGTAGCTGTCTCATAGCGTTCGTATGAAAAAATGGAAGAGTTACCAGTCGGCTTGATATGTTGTCTTCGGTTTGACGTAATGCTGTAGTGCCCGAATAAACGATACAACCATAGAGGTAACTCTAAGACAAGCAGGTCCCGAAGAAACGTGCTCAACTTTTTGGCTCACCTCTGGTACTATCTTGGGTCCCAAGCTTGTCGAATCACCCCTCGAAACATAAGAAAAACCAAGCGAATCAAAACAAACATTGCGTAGTACTAGAATTTCGACTAGAATAGGGTACGTTAATCGTTTGCTTGGGATCAATAGGCTACTAAAGTGGTGAGCCAATTTAAAATCGTTAGTTTCGTATTGATTGTTGATACAACCCTATATTTTTAATCAATGGTATTTTTGACAGTTTAATAATTTTCATTTTGAAAATATACCTTTTTTTAAATGACGAGAATGAAGAAAATTAAATGAATGTGGCTTTCATATTAAATATTGTCGTAGTTGAAACCACCAAAGTTGTGAGACTTTAAATTTGAAATGCACATTATTATTTAATCTGGATTACAAATTAAGCACTCACTGTAGAGCACGTGAAACACGCTTTTTCGAAGCCGAATCGACTCTAGACAAACTGTCAAAACATGCACGTGTTTATCTGTCGGCGGTACGTTTTTCTGTTTTGCTCTGTTGTTTCGTAATGGATTTCAGTTTATTACTGCATGTTTTCCGTTTTTCCCAGTAAATTCAACAGAAAACTATGAAAATCAGGTAAATATTGTCTCTCAGTTTTAACTAGATGTATTTTAATGGATGTGATGTTTGATTCTTGCCGAAAAAGGCCACAGAAACATGTTCGGTTGGGATTCTCCGGCAAATCTAAGCAGCAGCGCCGGTCAAATCAGCCGAAAACACGCAAAGAAATTCGTAAGGATAAGCGACAACAGAAAAAAATCAACCGGTTCAATTACCACAGCCGGAAGCGGAAGGACCGCTACCCACAGGACGACGAGCAGACTGAGAAGCGAAAGCGCGATGCGGAGAGTGAGGAGGAAGAAGAATTTGATGATGAGGAAATTGATTCCGACTTTGGAGAGGATGTCGAGGAAGCACCTAAGAAAGTGAAAAGTGGAGTTGAAGCTATGAGTCAATTGGAGAAGGAACGACAGGATGAATTGAAGGAACTTAGAAGCTACGAGCAAGGGTTGAAAGAAAAGCGAATCGAACAGATGGAAGCAGCTAACGAGGAGGATGATATGATTATCAAAAAGTACGAAAAACTATTAAAGATAAACCGACGCAAGAATAAGGATGGAGTGCCGAAAAGTTTCAATGATGGTTTGGATTATGCGTTGGAACTTTGTACGCAGGAAAACATCAGAAAAATGTACGATGCTGCCAAAGAGGCAGCCGATATGGAAGAGCACTCGGAGGATGAGTTTGCAGATGATGTGCAAGAAGCTTTGGGGAAGAAAGCTAAAAAAGGTACGGAGATGAAGGAGAGTGTGTCAAAGAAAGGGAAGAAATCCCAACTTGAGAAGGAAAAGAAGCGTATGGAACATTTGAAAGCAGTGGAGAAAAAGTATCTGGGCGACGACGAACGGGACAGTTTGGAAGGATATGATTCCGAAATGGACATAGAGTTGGATGAAAATGCAGAAGATGATTATTCGGAAAATGATGAGCTATACGATTCTGAGGATGATGCCATGAGTGAAGATTTGTCGGAAGAGGAAAAGGAGGAGACAATTCCCAAAAAGAAAAAGGACAACAGCACCAAAAAGGTAAAATTCCAAGAGGAGAGTAAACCGTCTATGGGAAAGAAAAAGAAGAAGCAAGTTGAGCCAGAATCAGAATCAGAACCAGAAGAGGATTCGGAATTCGACGAGGATGTCTTTGGTGGCGAAGATGATGATGATGATGATGGAAATGATGGTTTAGATGATCTTCTTGAAGGAATTGCCTCGGCTGGTGAAGATGAAGACAACGAGGAAGAGCCGACTTCGAAAGGGAAAGATGATGAAAAACCGGAAGTTTGGGAAGATATCTACGGACGAAAGCGTGACAAGGTAGGAAATGTAATCAAGGAGGATTCAGGAGCTAGGAAGTATATTCCTCCTCATCTGAGAGCTCGTATGGAAGCTGAACAAGGTGGAGATGCCAAACGCCAGGAGAAACTGATGAGACTCAACCGACAACTTAAGGGACAAATCAATCGACTGGCAGAGACTAATGTTCACAGGATTTCGATCGAATTGGACAATTTGTACATGCAAAATGCCCGATTCGATATGAACAGCACTCTGACGAACCTTATCCTGGATGCAGTTGTGTCCACAAGCTTGTCGCCCGAACGGATGGTGCTGGAACACACGCTTCTGGTAACGATTTTGCACGCCAACGTCGGATCTGAAGTGGGTTCTCACTTTTTGGAAACGGTCGTCGAACGGTTCGATAGCCTCTTTAAGCAAATCGACACCTCCAACGTGGAAGACAAGACTCTGGATAATTGCATTCTAATCCTGTGTCATCTGTACACGTTTCAAATATTCAAAAACAAGCTCATTTATGATGTTATCGATCAGCTGCTTTCGCAGTTCAACGAAAAGGCTGTGGAGTGCGTTCTGTTAGTGTTGAAATCCATCGGGTTCGTACTGCGAAAGGATGATCCGCTTGCACTGAAAGAAATGATTCAGAAAGTACAGAAAAAGGCTTCAGAGGCGCCGCCGGAGTTAAAGAATGAGTATGATAAATTGTAGATCTGTAATAAAAAATATGCTAATTTCAATTAATTTTCAGCACACGCGTCAAGTTCATGCTGGATACGCTACTGGCAGTGAAGAATAATAACATGAATAAAATTCCGCAATATGATCCTACCTTGGTGGAGCATTTCCGTAAAATTCTCAAGGGTATGATCACCAGCGGAAAGTACGTCAGCACGCTGAATATTGGTCTGGACGATTTGCTTAATGTGGACGAACGGGGCAAATGGTGGCTGGTGGGTTCCGCTTGGCATGGGAATAAGGATGGGAAGGAAGCTGGCACCAATAGCACCTTAACAGGTGGAGAAACCGGAGAGTTCAGTCAACAGTTGTTAGAATTGGCGCGGAAACAGCGAATGAACACAGACGACAAACGAAATGTGTTCTGCGCGATTATGAGCGCAGAAGACTATCTGGATGCTTTCGATAAAATCCTTCGACTATCGGTCAAGGATCAAAGAGTGGTGGCTACTGTTATTTTGCACTGCTGCCTATCGGAGAAGGACTACAACCCATACTACAGCATACTGTCGCAGAAATTCTGCGAATATGATCGTCGCTACCAGTTGGCCATCCAGTATGCCATTTGGGACCGGTTGAAGGAAATTCACTCACTAAAGCAAGCTCCTTCGAGGAATTTAGCCAAGCTGCTGACTCATCTGATAAGCGAAGGCGGACTAGCGCTATCCGTCCTGAAGGTGATCGAGTTTGCCGAAATCGATAAGATCACACTGCGGGTGGTAAGACAGATCATGCTGGGCATTTTGCTGCTGGAAGAGGAAAACAAATGCCTGCAGGTGTATAATCGGATTGCTCCCAGCTTCAAGCTGAAGGCATTCAAGGACAGTTTGCGACTGTTCTTGCATCATTTCCTGCTGAAGGGAAGCGACAAATCGAGCGTCCCGGAGGAGCAACTACAGCTGCTTCAGCAGAGGATCAAAATGGCCGATCGGATGTTGGACACTTCGGAGTCGAGGGTGAAGTTTTAGGGTGGAGTCAAGAAGAGTAAGTACATATAATATACGATTTCATTGGACGAGTTATGGTTTTGTTATTTTATAGAATTGGAAGAACTACATTTCTCGGTACTTTTGGTTAGTTGCAGGGGCACAGGGAAATATGTAGCAGGTAATCTCCTCGAAATACGCGTCCACCGGCAGTATAGGCAAAAGTGGATGTTGTTATTTTAACTAATACAATTAGTAATCAGATCTTCGATCATATGTTTGCTAACAAGTGAATTTTATAAGTGATAAAATAGATATGTAAAATTAATAAGTAGGTGATAGGATGAGGCGTTAGAAACATGTTGATTGTTTGTAGTGGGAGTTCGGGGGTTTGATTAGGTCTGAATATATCCTGCATTATTATTTGTGCCTATAAGCTTAAATTGCATCCGGGGGACTCTCCCCTTTTGCCCAGTACACCGTAGCGGCGACCGGAAAGATGGCATTCGGAATAACAACATTCGGGGTTATCCTGGCTTTCGAATATTAGCTCAAAAGCTATGAAACAATGGACACCGTTCGAAATTTACGTTTCCTCTGATTACTCAATTTTCTGTTTTATTCCGCTTTTCTCTTCAAATTTGCTGACAAAAACAAAACAAAAAGAATATTTTTCGGGGTTCGGTTTACTTTGTGTTACAACAACGTTTTTTTTCTGTGTCCCGTCTTCTTCAATGCTTCTTTTCCTTGACAGCCAGTTGTAGCATGCATTTTGGGATACACATGTCAGAATCACCTATTTCAATGTTACGATTAAATAAGTTAAAAAGCTGTTTGTTTTTTTTTTCAAATCTGAGTTGTCCACTTTGATATTTTGCCTTCGTTTTATTTTTGCTCCTATACTTTTCCTTAAACTTAGCACAAAACCTATTATTCTTAGTAGAAAAATAAATGCCAACCTGTTTGTGGAAAATCGAAATTTTGCACTTGAATTTCTGTCCCCTAAGATAAACGCAAACAAAAGAAAATCATTCATTTATGGAAGTTGGCAGTGTGAGAGAGGGAGTCAATTTTGCATATATTTTTTTAATGAAGCCGAGAAAAATGACCGTTTCAAGATTCGATTATTGGTCGTTCGATTGGTTAGGTTTTGAACTAAAACTTCAAATCACCGCTTTGTTATGTTTATCCTATGAGCTTGGTTTCTTCCTTTTTTAAGCCATCCACACGTTTTACTTTTGGTTTTAGTTTGCTAGCATCAATACCGAGCGACAAATATGTAATTATTGTTGCGTACTGGTGAAATGTTTGGGTAGAAAAGGAATAATTTAAATCATAATAACGTTGTTCCAAATGAAGAAATTAAAACGAACAAAATATGTGAAAAAGTATAAATTTAAAGATTGAGTTAAGGAAAATAAAACTTAATTCAAAGCTTAATCCACCACTAACATATTAGATTGTAAAAAAGATTGCTTCCTTTATGCTTAATAACAGTTAACGCGCTTTGTTTATTTTTTTTTTGTCTTGTAGGTATTATTCATTTACCTTCATTCTTTAGTTATCCTATTACAGTGTTTTGTTCTTCTTTTGTTATAATAATAATAATCTTTGCTTCCCTCTTTAATTATTTTCTTCCTAATTTTTCGCATATTACTTCGCCCTCACAGTTTGTAGTGGGTATTTGTGTGTGTGTGTGTTTTTTTCTCCGTGTCCTTCAATACTCTCTCTTTTGTCCTCTCCTTCTCTTGTGGTGTTTGTGTCTGTCATTCTTGTTTTCCGCCACTCTGACCTTTGCTTTTCATCACCGGAGTCAGCTGCTTCTCATCCGTTTCCTGACTGAAATGTCGATGGTCCTAGTTGTAAGAGTTATGCTCTCTGCTGTTTACAATGGGCAATTTGATGCGGATTAAATCTGGAACAGAATGATGAAATCAACTGATTAGGATTACGTTGATAAATTATATTGTTTCAACAAGTAAGCAATAATGCCCAAAATTAGCGTAGAGTCGGCAGGTTTTACAGATTTCAATGAATACCCTGAAAAGTTAAAAAAAAAAAGTTTGGGAGAGTATCCCCAAAATATCACCTGACGACCTCTGGACTTAAAACCCTCTGAAGTAATCATTGTTGTCTTGATTTGCCATTTTGCCATGGTCTGTTGAACCTGCTGTTTTTTTTTTTTTACTAGACAACAACGATTACTTAAGGTGCTCAGAGGTTGTCAGGTGAATAACTCCAGTAAACTTGAATTGTAAGTCGGAAGGATTCTCTTGGCGAACTTCTAGGGTTTGCAAGTCTAGTATGCTTCACGAGTAAATGTAGAAAGCTGGAAAATAATTGTAGTGATCCCAAACACTAACCTAGGTATGATCACAGCTCAAACCATCTAGAAGGTCGAAGTCGAGAAACCCAGAATATTCCGTAATAAAGCTCCCACGATGCTTAGGACCTGCTTTAAAAATTGAACAATGTGTTCCTCATATTCCATTGATTTGCTGTAGAAGTTCATTGTCATGCTCTCGGAGTTTTATAAAACTCTTGTTCAAATGCTTGGGGTCTCAAGTGGGTCTACTCACCCCTCCACACCAGTTCATCAGAACCGTCTTGAAAATCTCGGATCACTAAACCTCACCAAATAAAGCGAAATAACCCACCAAATATACCATAAAGGCATTCCATATCTGTCTTTTAACTTGGTTAGTTATCTTTAGAGTTCGATACTCTTGGAATTCTACTCAGTATTACTTTGAAATTAACCTTTTTTAAATTCTTTAAAGAATTTCCTAGGATTTCTCTTTAACATTGTACTTAAATATTTCTCACAACCCTTGTAGAATTCTTATCATCTTAAAATATTATTCAGAACAACCCTAAAATTCGCCTTAAAATTTCATTTGAATTCTTTTCAGAACCATCTTGAAATTCTCCCTAGAATTCTATTAGAATTCCAGTTAAAAATCCTTTTAAATTATCACTGAAGTTTCTTTAAAATTTGCTCGAAATTCCATAGTAGTTGTATAGAAACTAAAAATTCAATTTACAGGATCCTAGTCTAGAATCATTTTTAAATAAAGTTTCTTTGAAGCTTTCGAAATCCAACCTATTTTTGAGTATTTTTAATTTTAGTCATGTTTCAGATTCTTGAGGAATTTCTTAAGTTCCAAAGTCTTGATTTATGTTACTTCGGGAAATTAATATAAACTTCTTATACCTACAATATCTTGATAAATTTTCCTTAGATTTTTTTCAAGATTTTCAGAGCAATTTCTTATTTTCATAATTCGGCCTAATGACCCATTCAGCCCGCTAGCGTTCGGCCTAGTAGCCTGTGATCATTTTTCGTGAGTCTGTTACCCAGAAAACTGCGACTACAAAAGGTTTTGAGATCTCGAAGGTAAAGAAAAAATACAGTAGTCAACCTTCCACAACTCAATGGATTCATCGATCTCTTCATTTTCCATGTATCGTATTCTCGATAAAGCGATATTCCCATTTGTAAATTAATGACGTAGCATAGTTTTGGCCAATTTTAGATGCCCCTCTTCCCTCATAGAGTATTTTATTATATCTAACCTATCTAACAGATGGTCGGTCGCAACAACTCAACTCAAACCACCACCCCTCCTCGCACAAATGCTACGTCATTTAGGGCCCATGCATTAATTATGTCACGCTAAATCGAGGAGAAATTTACCCCCCCCCCCTATCGTGACGTTTTTCCTAAACCTTAATCCCCCCCCCCCTCTAGAGCGTGTCATAATATTTGCATCAACCGTTATGTATGTTCACTAAGCAGGCATTGAAAATTATTTGCATTCATTTCGTACATTGATTTAATTTTTTCATCAACAGAATTAAGTAAACTTATGTGTCAAGCTTTTGTAAGTTTTAACATTACCTACAAATTTTGTGAATATCTCAAACCAGTATCTCTTATGCATGAGAAATCAGAGCGAATAGAACGTTGTTTTTCAGTGAATGCAAATTACATTCACAAAAAACAATAACTCTAGTTCGTCATGCACAAGAGATACAGATTTGAGTTATTGCCAAAGTTGTAGCTAATATCAAAACCTATTTAAGGCTTCTTACATAATTTCACGGAATTCTGTTGATGAAAAAAGTTAGAGGCAAATGAATGTAAATGATATGCCATGTCTGTCCCTAAGTCGGTGCCTGCTTTGGTAAATGATTTATGTAGTATTGTTTTAATTCTACAACTCGATATATCAAAACCAGACCTTCTGTGTTCTTTGATCCTGATGTTACAATCAAAGGAAGTTAAAACGTGATACCTGCCGATCATATTGAGTATTCATGACCCATCGGTCACAAGCAAACATGTTCCTGGTGTCTTCCGGAAAATAGTCCATACCTGTAATTCATACCTGAACCTGTATTGAGACCCACAGGGCTGGTAGTGCTGATGCGATATAATAGTAGTGACTTTAGTGACTAAAATTACGGAAATAGTGACCAAATAGTGACTTGTACATACTAAATAAGTACCGTAAAACCATAGTTTAATAGTTTTTTAAATTATATTCTAAATATTTTTTAAAGCAATGAATGTTTTTCAAAGTTTATATTTTTAAAACAAGTACTGAGGATCCAAGAGTTAATTCGCTAGTAATATGTTGAATGAAAATTAAAGCATTTGCACTATTTTTTTAGTTTTGTGACCGAACTTCAGTATTTTGATTTGGGGTTACTTTGATAACTAAGTGGAACTCAAACAATTTAGTTCTTTAAATATGAAACTTTGAATGAGTATATAATCCGAAAACTTCATAAGCAATAAGAATACAACATTGAATTTAGGTTGGCTGTATCGGAAATACATTTCATAAGTGATGGTTTGAATGCTTTTTCAAAAAGGCAAAAAACACGAAAATTGTTTTTTAATATTTTTGTAAAATATGTAACACTTACTATTTAAAAACTATATACGATATCAATGGAAATACCCTAAGCTACAATATGGAACCAATGTTTCTAATTTGGAACAAGCACTGCGAGTAAATTTATTTTATATATTATACTATCAAAGTTAC